AAGAAGAAGAAGAAGAAGAAGAAGAAGAAGAAGAAGAAGAAGAAGAAGAAGAAGGGGAGGAAGAGGAGGAGGAGGAGGAGGAAGAAAAGAAGAAGAAGAAAAAGAAGAAGAAGAAGGAGGAGGAGGAGGAAGAGGAGGAGGAGGAGGAGAAGGAGAAGGAGAAGAAGATAGGAGGGGACTTCTGACAACCCAACAGACCCCCACCCTTGCCTCACTCCTCTCCTATGTTCCCTGAGCTTCCCAGGGGTCCCCCAGAGCTGGAGGGTCGTGATGGCACTTGGGCAGTTCCACAGCTCCAGCTAGTGTTTAATAGGTGCACACAGACACACTCTCACACACACACAGACATACACCCCTGTGAGGCAAAAACTGGGCTTCTTCCTGAGGAATGGGATTCCTGACTGTGCGCCTGAGGTGTGAGTCCCCAGTGAAGCTCAGTGAGCATTGAATCTGAGATGACATTTCCTTTAATGAGTAACCTCAGGCCTCCAGCTTTGATGTACTGGTTTTCACTTCCTCCTTTTCCCCTCATCCTCCTTTGCCAAATTTTCTCTCTTGCCCCCAGAGCCAGCAGCCAGAAGGCCAAGACCCCTACTGACTTCACCAGCTAGTGAGCCCCAACAAAATTTGAGAGCAGAAGGGCCCATGCCCCTCTAGCATCACCAGGTAGAATGTGGGGGCCTCAGAACAGGCCAGGCCCCTCACTATTGCCACACTATGTCCCTTCTCACCCAAGGACAGGGCTTATTTGTGGGTGGAGGACTTCTTGAGTTCCATAGCTGGGAAAACAACAGCATCATTTGCCTATTTGAAAAACAATTTGCAGTTTACAAAACACTGTGCTGTCCCTTATCTCATGAGAATGCTTGGTGCCACCCTGTGAGGCAAGCAGGGTGGGAACCATTAGCTCCAATTTACAGATTGAGGAAACACAGGCTGGGGAGGATGAAGTCATTGCCCTGTGGCCACCTGGCTGCAGGATGGCAAGGCTGGAGGAGGAAGGAGAACAGGACTTTTGAGAGAGAACCCAGACAAGCCCTCCCTGAGGGGAGATGAGAGGAGGGGGTGGCCCCAAGTTGGAGAGGCACTGGCCAAATCCACAGCTTGCAAAAGACTCGGGAAGCTTGTTCTGAAATAAATGTGTGCATCGGTGCGTGGGTGTGTGCATATGTAGGGGTACGAGGAGGGTATGTGGGGGTGTGCGTGTGCATGGGAATATCAGTGTGTGCATACATGCATACATCCATGTGTAGGGGTGTGTTCATGGGTGTATGGGGGTAGGTGGGTGGGCCCATGGGCAAATGTGTGTCTCCAGTCTCTGCAATGTTGACTTTGAACTTGCAGAGACCAGGATTTATCCATCTGTCCATTTGTTTATCTAATATTTCCTAATTCTCCAAAGTACCTAGCAGAGAACTGACCAGAGATAGCTGCTTAAGAAACACTGGGGGGTCTTATTGCCACATCTCAACTTGGGACAGCCTTGTGCAAGAAGGTGACCAAGCCCAGATGCCTCCATTCACACCTCCTCTCCCACTGGGACCCCATCTTCATGGCAGAGCCTAACACTTCTTGTTACTCAAAACTGGAAAAGCACTCTGTCGTCCTAGAGATCAAACAAAGCTGGGATGTCTGCAGTGACTCTTGGAAACCAGGCCCTAACACCCTCCTCCAGCTACCTCCTCACCCAGGAAGGACACATGGATGGCCCCATCCAGCTCACCCCAGCACTGGGCTCTTCTCAAGTAAAAGTGCCCACAGTATCTCCATCTATCTCTCACATACAGGAAGCACCAAGGCTACCAGCCTGGACAAGCAGTTTGCCCACCACCCCCTGCAGCCAAATCCCAACTTCCATACCCCTGGCCAATTAACCCGCAGCCCTGGCCAGGCGGCTCTGTGGCCTCTGCCAGAACACCCACTCTTTCCAGGGGAAGAGAGCTGACTTATCTCTCCCATCAACGAGGCAGTAATAAATTAAGAAGCTGAAGCTCTGGCTTTTGTGATAACTCACAATATGAGAGACATCAGCCCTACCGGAAAGGGAACTTCCTCCTGGAGGCCAGGGATCTAGTTCCTCTCACCATCCCTTTAGGGCCTCCAAGCCCCATTATTTCTACAAGCCCTGCTTACTAACAACAGTATTTTCAGACATTTTACAATTCTAAAACAAGACAGAAGCCAAAGAAAAGAAAAACAGCAGATTCTCTTTAGCATGAAGAGAACGATAAAATGCACCAGAAACCCATGCAAGTTCATAACTATAAATGAGGACAAGTTTTAATTCTGAGCTTCCTGGAGGTCTTGGCAAAGAAGGGAACCAGTTAGGCTCTGCTGCTTTTATTACCCCATGAAGATGAACACAGACATTCACTGAACATTTTCTAAGACAAAATTCTAAAAGGGATTTCACATTAAACCTTATATGGGAGAAAACCTTCTGGCAACACTTTCAACAGCAATTTTGCAAAAGTTACAGACAGACTCAAATAAACATATCTAATATGGATTTCCCCATGAAGACTGAAGCCAGCACATGGGCCTCAGCTATCGCCTCGCATGTGGGCCAGGAGTGCTGGAATAACATCACCAGACCTTTATTTTCTTGGGATTCCAGCTTTGTTTTGTGCCGGAGGACAGAGAAGAGAGGAGTAGCAGGGACCAGCATGTCTTTCAACACCTTCTCTCCCACCTAAGGGTGTCATCCCAGCCTCAGGCAAAGGCAGGCCAGGATGCTGAAGATTAAATAGCAGTAGCAGGTGCCCAACACCAAATCTCAGGCAGCAGAACTGTGGAGAATGTTATAGGGAAATTTAGTTTCATTGTGGGGAACCCCTATTCTTACAGAGGCAGGCCATGAATAAGACAAAGCACTCTGAACCTACCATATTCCCTCCTTGACAAGTCTTCAAGTCAGCCATCTCTAAGATCTCTCCCGGCTCGCAGTTATATGATTATTTGGGATTATTTCCCAAGGGAATCACATCTCAAATGATATGAGACACCACTGGAATAGCAGAATTCATTTTACAGCCAGTTTTGAAACCCCTGCCAGCGCTGCTGGCACCTGTGTGGGTCATTAACACACTCGGCCCTGCCAGCCAGTGTGACCCTTGCGGCTGCTTTGCCCACTCAATGGGTCACAGCCTCAGCTTCTGCTCTGGAAGATGTCAGGATGGGACTGGCCCTGAATTCAAAGTTCTGAAGCAGGCTTTTCCTTCTTAAGGCCTCAGTATCTTCCTTACAATCCCAGAGCCCCACTACTGCCCCGATGTCCCTCTCCCTTCCCCCAAGGGCACCAGTGCTATTTGGAGAGCTGGAAGTAGTGTTGTATCTAACTTTGTAGCCACAGTTTCAAATCAGAGCTGCAGACATGTGCCATTATTCTCTCACACACTCATTTTCCCAGCTTTCATAGCTCATTAAAGGAGCTAATGGAACCAATTTTGCAGCTATGGATGAGTTGGCCTCCTGCCAGATGAGACCTTGCTTCATTAAGTTCTGACCACATCCTGTCCTCTGTCTCACCCTGTCCATTTACCTCTCCTTCTCAAAGCCTCGGTTCCAGAGCGGGGGGCGGCTCACGTGATACCACTGACCCCAAATGTCCAGGCCCCACCTGGGTGCTGAGGGAATGATGGAGTCAGGCAGGATTAGCGCTCCCTACATGACAACAGGCTGTCCCTGGTGCGGAGCCAGTACTGTGCTGAGGCCACCTCATACGGTGCTCATCACATCCCAACAAGCATCAGCAGCACCCTTCTACCCGTGGAGAAATGTCCCTCTGGGAGGATAAGTGACTTGCCCAAAGCCACACAGCTGGGTAGTGAGAGTCAAGACTTGAACCCAGACCTGTCCCCTGCAGTGGGGACCATGTGACAGCTGCTTCACCCCTTTTCCATGCAGCTTCAAGGCTTGGAGTAGGCACTCATTCCCACAACACTGGCCTGGGGAAAACAAACTGAGAAGGCCCCACCACTCCTTCAGAAAACTTGGCCCACGCCCCTGGTCTGGACCAGGCCCTGCTGTTTGGTGGCTGTTACAACAATGGCAGCCTCTGGAGTTCATGAAGCCCTGCCCTGTACCAGGCATGTCACACCCATTAGCTCTTGCCCTTCAACAACTGTGTTGTTAGCCACCATTTTCAGATGAGGAAAGTGGGGGTCAGGGAGGCTATGCGGATTCTCTGGGTCACATGGTTTGCACATGGCCACCTCTGAGTCAGAGTTCTTTGGGAACCAGGATTCAACTTTCATCCCCAAGGAGGCCTGCCCATGTACAGATCCCCTCCCAACTCCTGCAAAGTGGCCCTGTCTGCGGGGCGGGCCTGGGCTGGGACTGGGACTGGGAATGCTGCCATGGGCACTCTGTCCTCAAGGATTGGGAGGTCTATGGATGAGTAGACTGGGATGCTTGACGAGGACATGTACACCTGGGAGAACTGGTCTTGGCTCCTTCTCTTCCCTTCTCCTTTCTTTCCAGAACCAGACCTGGCAGAATATGCAAGATGGGAAGGGCCAGCCCCTTCTGAGGGAACTCATGAGGAAGGAGGACCCCCGAACAACCACTCCCCTTCTGGGCCAAGGCCAGGACACCTGATGCGGGACAGGGTGGCAGCTGACAGGCTGGGAACCTCCATCTGACTACTTCCCACCAGAGTCCTGGGAGGGGAGGGAGGAGCTAAGGTTCCAAGTCTAGTGTCTTCTCAGGAAGCTCTGCTGATGGGACAGCTAACACAAGTTTTGAAATCATCAAGTCTTAGGAAAACAAGATTCCTCTGATTTACTAAATTTTGCTGGCCTTGGTCAGTCTGCTTCCTGCCAGCCCCAGACAACCTGGAAACAAAGGCTGAAATGCCTAGACTGGGGGATGGGAAGAGTGAAGGGAAATGCTTCTAGAAAGAGGAAGCTGAGCGAGGCTCCCAGGCAGGAAGAGGGAAGAACAGTGGGAACATGAGTGCTTGCTGGGGTGGGCTAGGGGGTCCCAGTGCCCCAGACCAGGGACCCCGCACAGCAGGACCAGCTGCGGCCACAGGGGTCCAGGTCAGACAGACTTGGGTGCAGAAGCCAAGTCTATCCCCAACTCTCCTGTGGCCTTGGGCAGGCCATTCAGCCTTTCTGAGCCTCATGGGCCCAATCTGGAAAGTGGGGATGGTGCTAACACTCCTGTTCCCAGGGAGCCATGAGGAGGGGATAAGAGCACATGCAAAGAGCTCAGACAAACGCAGGGTCAGGTGCACACTGAAGGTGTTGAGGGGCCACGACGGCACAGGTAAGATCCGTTTCCAGGTTTGCTTGGGGACTCCTGGTTTCAGGATTCCCCTGGGTCTTCCTGAAATGGTCTTACACTCCTCCTTCCCTGTTTCCCAGAACTCAGAGAAAGCGAGGTGCAGCCCTGGGGACCCAGGGGAGGCAGAATCCCTCCAATCCAGCAGGTCACAGAAAATGGTCCAGATTCTCAGTGGGGCAGTGCCAGACTCGGCTTTTCAAAGGTGGACCACCGGGCGCGGTGGCTCAAGCCTGTAATCCCAGCACTTTGGGAGGCCGAGGCGGGTGGATCACGAGGTCAAGAGATCGAGACCATCCTGGTCAACACGGTGAAACCCCGTCTCTACTAAAAATACAAAAAAAAATTAGCTGGGCATGGTGGTGCGTGCCTATAATCCCAGCTACACAGGAGGCTGAGGCAGGAGAATTGCCTGAACCCAAGAGACGGAGGTTGCGGTGAGCCGAGATCGCGCCATTGCACTCCAGCCTGGGTAACAAGAGCGAAACTCCATCCGAAAAAAAAAAAAAGAAAAAAGAAAAAAGAAAGGTGGACCAAGAATCTTGAGTCTACAAATCCTGTTTTGCTGTGAAAGGCTCAGTAAGGAAGGAGCTGACCCTCCAGGGTGGGGAGAGGGTGGCTGATCTCAGGGGAAGGACCTTGGGGAATGGGAACCACGGCTGAAAGGACAGAGACCCACACCAGGGAACTCATCCAGCTCTCAGGCTTGGCCAACTACAGGAGGGGACCTATCCTCACTTCTTTGTGGCAGTCCCCACTCTCGCAGGTAGCAGACACATTTACACCCCTTACAACTCCGCACAGCCTTTTGAACAGTGTCCCTCCTGCAAAGTATGTGGCCCTGGCCAGTCCCTTCACTTTCCTGAGCCCTAGCTTGGATCTGTGAACTGGACACCCACTCTCCTCCCACATGGTGCCTATGTTACAGGTGGAGAAAGAGGCCCAGAGACAGCTATGGCTTCCTCCCCTCCCCCAGAGGTTCTACAGTTAGAAAGTGGCAGGATCAGTACTCCCTCTGCCCCTGACAGGTGTGGGATCCCAGCATTCTGCCCACGGCCTTCCTACAGAGGGCTGGGGGAGGCTGCAGAGACCACTTACAAGCCCCCTGAGTATACACTTAGAAGATCCAGGTTCTGGTATCTTCCTTTAACTTCAAAGAGGAAAAAGGAATTTTTGTATCAAAATCAGCTACATAATCTGTGAAACTTTACCCTGGTTCTATTTCTTCTATGACAGTGTAAAAATAGGACATTTTCATCATAAGACTGGAACATTTTAGCTAACACAAGTGTTTTATTGTAATCTCAGAAATAATGTCCCATCAGCGGTCTCTCTTTGTGAAGAGACCCCTCACCAGCCATGAAATATGTGCTCCCAACTGGCCAATTGTGTAGCAGTGATGCCCACATAGCTGGCACAGGATTACAAAGGGCTGTGCCACCCTCCCTAGCTGGGGATGACCACGGCAAGTGAGGTCATGCCTAGGTGACCCCTGCTGAAGCACCCAGCAGGCCATGCCTCTGGCCAGCTCTGCAGAGAGGGGAACCAACACCCTCTAGCTTTCAGAAGAATGACAGCTGGTCTCTTGCCTGGAGGAGACATCACAGAGATGACAAAGGAATCGGAAGTGGGCGTGGGAAGATGCACTGGCTCACCCCCAGAGGCATGGCACAGAGGCTCTAGTAAACCTTCCATCTCCACCCCCCACACTGACCTTCTACCTCGTATCTGCTCAGCATCTCTCCCTCAACCTTTGGCTTCATTCACGTCCCTGCAGCTCCCCATACAGGCCTGGGTGAGCACAGGCAGCCATCTCTCTCCTCAGACTCCTCCCAAAAGTGCAGGGGCACTGGCTGTCCAGGCTTCTAGTTTCCCTCGGTCCCTGGCCCCTATCCCCTCCTGCTCAAGTTCAGCCAGATGGCTCCCAAGGCATCAACACCCAGCCAGCTCCCGGAAGGCTTCCCTAGTCTCTGATCACACCGTGGAGCCATAGCTATGAGGAAGAGGGGGAGGCCCTGCCCTCTAGGGGACCAGGGTGGTGGCCTGGCAGCTCTGAGGGACACTGCTTGTTCCTGCCATGGGAATAGCTGCAGTGACTCACTCCCTGTCTCCTGGGCCTGCCTAGGGTAAGGACACACCCTGGTGCTGGCTCAGCCTGACTCAAGCACTTAATTAAGGCCATGAAGTACAGCGGAAGGGGTCCCGAACCTGAGTCATAACCCCCAGAGCTCCTGTCCCTGGCAGAATACAGCCCCTGATGGTTCCCCCTGACAACACCATTTGCTGACTGGCATGGGAGAGGCATCCTGGGACACCCTCTGACCAGTCTCCATGCTATCCACTTATAAGAGCCACCCCAGCAGTGGGCAAGGCAGGCCCCCCCCAACCTGCCTGCTTCCCTGGCACTGCCCATGGTCACTGACCACCTAACATGTCTTCACAGCCAAAAGGAAGGCCCTGGCTAAGCAGAACACCCAGGCCCTCTTTTCTTTATTTTTTTTAGACAGAGTTTTGCTCTTGTCACTCAGGCTGGAGTGCAATGGAGCAATCTCAGCTCACTGCAACCTCCACCTCCCGGGTTCAAATTATTCTCCTGCCTCAGCCTCCCAAGTAGCTGGTATTACAGGTGTGTGCCACCACGCCTGGCTAATTTTTTTTACTTTTAGTAAAGATGGGGTTTCACCATGTTGACCAGGCTGGTCTCAAACTCCTGACCTCAGGTGATCCACCCGCCTTGCCCTCCCAAAGTGCTGGGATTATAGGCATGAGCCACTGCGCCTGGCCCAGGCCCTCATTTTGCAGATGAGCAGACTGTGGCTTCTGATCCCCAGTGGAGCTGGCACACAGGGATGAATGGCTGAGAGCCAAGCCTGGGTTCCAGCACAGGGCCATGTCCCTACTACGTGACCCTGGATGAGTTACTCTGCCTTTCTGAACCTCAGTCTCTGCAACCATGGCGTGGGGTTGATAACCCATTCTGATTCTGCCATGTTTGTACCTGGCATGTAGGAGGTGCTCAGCAAGTGGGTGCCTTTATTGCCATCCCCCTGTCCTCTGTGTTGCTGCCTGCCAGAGAGCACAGAGAGCACCTGCTAGTGCCTCTGCCACATCCTGAGAAGGGGGCTGTAATGTTAAATGAGCATCTATGGATAAGCTATGGGTCCCTTGTGGAGGCTGAACCCTTAGGAATGGGACAATGAGTGTGGCAGCTCAAGGGCCTGGTCCCTCAGGCCCCTGAATATAGCCTCTGAGCCTTAGCAGGGTAAGGGTGGTCAGGTGCAGGGTGCTGGCTAGAGAGTCTGTAGTGTTCACCCCAGCTAGCCAGGTGCAGCTCACACTCAGTTCTGCCCTCTGTAAAATGGAAGCAGGTTACACCTCACATCTTAGCCCTCCCAGACTCCCACCAGCTCCTCTGGCTGACTCTAAGACTCTTGATTCAGTTCAGATCTCAGCCCCATCCATCCGACTGTGGCCAAGGAACCCTTGGGGGTCATACTCTGCCTGGTTCTACATCATTGTCCCAAGCAAAAGTCTCAGACCATTGGACTGTAAAAGGAGACCCAACAGCAGAGACTGCAGCTAAAGCTGACATCCCACAAGCCATGGGGTTGATGGCAGGGGACCTTCTCAGGTTACAGCTCAGCCCAAGAACTACTGACTCCACTGTTCTGACTGCCAAGGCTGCTGACACTTGGTCAAGGCGGGCAGGAGGAGGGGACACTGTGAGTAGCGTGGGTATAGCAGACACTCCTTCTTCCTGCCCAGCCCCCACGCCCCCCCCCCGGGGTGGCGGTGGGGGAGTGAGCTGCAGGTTGACCAGGATGAATCCTCAGCACCTGACCTGACCCTGCTCTGTCCTCCACCTGCCCTCAGCCTTCCGGGCTGCAGAGAAGAGGACTTCAGGCCTGAAATACATGAGACAGGCAGACTGGTAAGGCCCAGGAGAGTGGGGACACAGCAACAGCAGGAAGAACAGGTGAAAAGGAGAAATGAGAGGGACGAGCAGGCAGAGGACAGGAAGATCACTAATGCCAGGAGGAGAAGGCAGCAAAGACAAAGACCTAGTCTAAAGAAAAAGGCAACCCTAATCCCAAACCCGCCTCAAAAACAAAAGCAATCTTTTCAGCATCTCCCGCCTGTCCAGTGCCAAAAGGGCCTCCTGAGGCTCCTTGCTCCCTGAACAGGAGCCTCATGTTCCTGCTCTAAGCAAAACCTCCACAGTTTCCTGCTCTAAGCAAAACCTCCCACACAGCAGGATTTTAATCACAATTGCACAGGGCCTAATCCACTTAGTTCCAAAAGGGCAGGAGGGTGGGGAGGAGCCCAGGACCCAGAGCTCCCTGCACACCATTCTTTCCTGTCCCTCAAGGGACTGGCTTCCCCAGGTGCAGGGCGAACCCAAGTGGGTCCTCATAAAGAGCAATAATGTTTCACCAACAAATGCACCCAGGCCACCCCAAATGAGAGCCCTGCCATCTGAGAGTGTCTGCTGGCCTGTGTTGTCTCATAGCATGAACGCAGGGATAGTAACAGTCACCAAAACTAGATCCTACTCCCCGCCATATATTCAAACCCGGGATTCAACTACGCCACAAAGATTATGGTTTTGCAAAGGATTATGAAACTACCTTTTGTCCGAAGTCACTTGGGGAGAATGTGGCAGAAAGGATTTTAAGCCCAGAGCTCTGGTCTTCTCTCAACCCCAGGTGGGGCCTCTCATCTGGGACCACACAAGATCTCAAATAGATGGAGGGAGAGCGTTAGAACTAAAGTTCTGGGAAAACCCCAGCACTCGCAGGAACTATGGTCTCACTGTCCTGCGAGCAGCAGAGCCAGCTCTCCAGGAAGTGCTCAGTGTGCACTCTCACAGCACAGCTATGCTTGGAATGCCCCTCTCACCTAAGGAGGTCCTCAGCTCTTGTCTGGGACTTCACCATTAGACATGGCAACCTGGAGCCAAGGGAGGTTGGGTGCTACAGAGCCAGATGTTCCAACCACTGCCTCACGCAGGGGTCTCTCATGATGATGTCCCCAGTAGAGGAAGATGAGGAATCTAACTCCACTCCCTCAAATGTGAAGCTCAGAAGAGATATAACGGACTTGTTGTAATGAAAATTGGGTCCTTCCCATACAGTCTGAACAACAGCCCAGGTAACCCAAAAGTCCCTGCAGCACCCTCAGCAATAGTGCTCTACCCTTCAAGGCCCTACATAAATGCCTCTTCCTTTACAGATTCTTCCGGTCCTT